TGTGTGTGTGTGTGTGTGTGCATACACACCACGGTGTATTCTCTCTCCTCCACAATCTTCTTTACTTCCTCCATTTCATTTCGCTCGTCATAGTCTTCAGCTCCGCTCCCATAACCAGAAGCCTGAAGAGGACGTGAGAGCAGGAGGAGCAGGAACACACAGACAAGAGCCACACCATCATGTTCAGGACTTCAACAATACACAATACGGTTAAAGTGTTTCCGTTCTCTGAGAAATTATTGAAATTAGGCACAAACGTTTCTGTAAACATCTGGAATAAATTGACCTTATAGGGTCACGGGACAAGTTTTGCAAATGAGCCAAATCTGAACTGTTTGAAAGAGTTACCATTTGTTAACCAACATGTAAAACCCACAAATCTAGTTCTATATTTGAAAACATAAACAAAAATACTAAGTCAAAAACAATTAACTTCAATTAAATAATGATCAAAGAGCTGACATGCATTTCCTGCTGTCGACTGATTGACAGACTCGGTGTGTTCTGGATCTAACATTTTAGATCATGTTTTATTTTTGGGAGCCTTGATCCCAAACTGGCCCACAAGAAAGAAATCTAGTTTAATTAATTTATTCAACCTTTATTTCTAGAGGTTAGTCTCCGTGAGTCACCAGGACTCTTTTACAAGAGGTTTAAACAAAAAGCATAAATGAGGAACACACGATAAACGTTCACATGAACGCATGGAAGATGAACAAATAAAAGAAGTGGTAAAAAACAAAACAAAACAAAAACATGCTACATTATAAAATGGTGTCAGATGAATGCTAATAATCAATAAAACATATTTGTACATAAATTGATTGATATAATGTATGTTGTGGATTGATGCACATGTTCGTTCAGCTTTACAGGTTTTCCAGGAGCAAAGCTCCCAGTTTAACACTTGCTGGGTCTTATTCATGCAAACTGAACTTTAGTGTGTAAAATGGTGATAAATTAAAAAACTAAACTAAAAAACTAGAATTATTGATGCGATGGATGAAGTTAGTGACAGGGCCAGGATGTTTTTGATCTGCATTAAGTGAGCTCACTTTGAACCCTGGAGATAAACAGATTCAGTTTCAAGTGTCGTTAGGAGATCAACTCTTTAGTTTATCGTTCAAACAGAGATGTGAGTGTTAACTTGTTAACTTGTTAACTTGTTAACTTGTTAACTGACTGAACTTACGGTGTTCACAGGTTTGTGTAACACCGAGCTGCAGCCAGCAGAGGGCGGTGTAGTCCCAGCTTTACAGAACAGCGCGTGCGCTCACAGAGAGGCTCCAAGTGGAGCTGTGAACCTGTGATGGGGTGGTGTTTGGTGCAGACTCACATAAGGATCGTCCTCTTCACACTGGTCATCTGGAGCGCTGGGATCTGGCTTCAGCAGCAGCTGCTGGATGGAGCCCTGCACAAGGTGAAGAGAACAATCAGAACAATAAAGCTTATATCCTGATGCATGCTCAATAATCCAATAATAAGGGTTATATTGCATCATCATTTGGCTTATTCCTCATCACTACATCAAGGATTAGCAATCCCTGTGCTCACGCCAACCATGTCTTTGTGCACGATTCATTTCCTCTCTGTTAGTGCACTCAGAACATTCAAACTTAAATTTAAAACCTTTCATTGTTAACGTGTCTGGAGAACAGGTGCCACTCTAGACCAGGGGTCTGCAACCTGCGGCTCTGGAGCCACATGCGGCTCTTTGGTTCCTCCGCAGCGGCTCTTTCAAGCTTCAACCAAAACTGACATTAAACTGAATTTTATTGGTTGTTCTACAAACTACAAAAAAGGACTAGTTTTAGCTGATTTCCTGTCATTTCTTTTGCAAATATGTGACTACTGGAACACGTACAAGGAGTAAAACATACTCAATTTAACTTTATGCTGTATTTCTATACCTAGTTTTTCCACAATTTAAAAAAATACTTACGTCTGCATAGTTCATAGTTTTTAATAATTAAAAAACTAACCCTCCTTACAAGAATCTGGTCTGTTCATTTGTCTTAAACTGTAAAAATCTAAATTATTATATATATTTTAGCTTTTTAATGTCACCCCTAATGGCCACAAAAGTCCCCACCAACAAGCGTAAAGAGGCCCATGGGCCACCAGTTGACAATCACAGCAGGTTGTTGGGGCTCTGATCACTTTTACTTTAGTGAATGAAGGAGTAATGTGGCTGTTTGGATCGTAAAGGTTGCACACCCCTGCTCTAGAAGATCTAGTTTTGAGACAACTTGACCTTTACTCAGAACTAAAGTGTCAACCAGTTTATGGATCTGACTAAAAAATAATAATAATAAATTACGTGATTTTTCAGAAAATAGTTGGAGATGACAAATTCTGCTTTGGTCAGCTGATAAGTGCTGCTGCGTTTTTGATCTCTGCTAATATTTCTGACTTGTTTTTTTTTATATTTCTACAACTACAATAGTTCAGATATTCTGAATGGTAGCTCTGTGGATTATTGACAATTATTTGTCATTCAATTCAAGCAAAGTCAGATTTTCCTTTCTTGTTTTTAAAGACTTTTTGCTTCTTATCTGAACAGATGTCTCAATTCAAACAAATATATATATATATATATATAGTGGAGTTCATATTTTTATATGTTTCAGCATAATAAAAGAAACTGTCCAGATGACCTGACTGAAAATTGTTGGATTGTAAACCTGGATTATTGAGCATGAACTTTGTTGGTTTTGAACCAGTTTGACATGACTGTTGATGAGGGAGAGGGCCGGCACCGGAGGAGGGGGCGTGCCAAAAAGACACCATCTTAGCACAAACATAACTGGTTTGTTCCACTTTGGAGTAAGCTGTTGGGGGATAAATCAGTTTTGTGTTGTGTGTTTCCTTGACTGATGAAGCCTTCTGGATGGAAGGTGAAACGTTTCAGCACAAAAAAAAAAAACTGTCCAGATGACCTGACTGAAAATTGTTGCATATTTTTATATATTTTTGAATTGAGAAAGCTCCGTTATTAAGAATCAAAATGGCTTCACACATTCCCACTGGAACTCCACCAGACGGGTGCAGAAGTGAACAGCTAGCTGCTGAAGAAATGCTGCAGTGTGTCTGACCTGCACTCACAAGAAACCACACTTTTACGTCAACTGTCTAATGGACAGTAGTGTAAAATGTTTGACAAGCAGCACTCCACTTTGTTCTTAAACTAGAGGTGAGACTGTTAATCTGGATTGAATGTTGTATGTGTGTTTTGTTCAGTGGGCCCTCAGTCAGCTGTGCTTCTTCAATCCGCCTGACACTTCACCTGTTCCCAGTCACCAATTACTCAGGTGCTCCCACTGTCCACTCATCTTCCATTCTTTTTAAACGGACTCCTATCACCAGCTCACCCGCAGCTCTTTGTATTAGGTTTACCCATATGTCTCGGGCTTCCTCGTGCTCTTCTCATGCTCTCGTGTTCCTTCAACAGTAGGTGTCTGCAACCACATCTGCTTTTTGTTTTGTTATCTAAATAAAGAGTTTTCATTTCACTCCAGCTCCATCATGTCTGTCTGCATCTGAGTCCGACTCTCCATCGATCGTGACTGTTTTTCCAGTCTGGTTACTCAAACAGCTATCTACAACAGGTAAGATATTTGTTCATGGTCTTTAAATAGAACCACACATCAGCAGATATGTACCACTGGTTCGACTTTCACTTTAAAGCTCTTCTAATGCATGCTCCAATTTATTCATATGAACGTTTGTGTTTATATTGTGATCTAATTGTGGTTTTGGATAAATTCACAGAAGAAGAAATTAAGATTAAACCATAATTAAGATTAAACCGTATTTAAGGGGGACAACTGTGCCACGTTTGTTGATATTTAGATAAAGCCAGAAGCCAAACACCTGTTTTCAATGGAACGAAGCACAGCTTGTGAAACTTCATGGTGGCAACGAAGAGACAAACAGAGATGGGTGGAAGAAAATAGAGCAAGAAAAAAGTGGGTGGATAGAAGCCAAGACGGCAAGCCAAATGTGACACATCTGTTTGTGCAGTAAACAACACATCTGAAGCAAAGAATGTGCCACGCAGTCCTCTCTGGAAGTCTAACATGTGGATTCACTGCTTCACCAACAGGTCTACACAAGCATACTGGAAAAAAGAACATCTGAGGAGATCAAAGTTCATGCTCAGTAATCCAGGTACAACATCCAACAAAGTTAAGCCACGTCCTCTGGATGGTTTCTTTTTTGTTGTTGAAATGTTTAGTCTTTCATCCAAAGGACTTCATCAGTTCGAGGAGCCACAACAAACAGTTCCACAAGCAGCACACGTACATAATGGGCCAACCATCGTATCACCATCAAACTGATTGGTCCACTATGTGAGCGTGCTGCTTGCGGGACAGAGTTTCTTGTGGCTCCTCGGACTGATGAAGTCCTTTGGAT